ACTGTGACCCTCCTGCCTGTTTAAAACAGTGAACATGTACCCTTACTAACACTGTGACCCTCCTGCCTGTTTAAAACAGTGAACATGTACCCTTACTAACACTGTGACCCTCCTGCCTGTTTAAAACAGTGAACATGTACCCTTACTAACACTTTGACCCTCCTGCCTCTTTAAAACAATGAACATGAACCCTGATTAATACTGTGACCCTCCTGCCTGTTTAAAACAGTGAACATGAACCCATACTAACACTGTGACCCTCCTGCCTCATGCCTGTTTAAAACAGTGAAACCCTTAGTGACACATGTGACCCTCCTGCCTGTTTAAAACAGTGAACATGAACCCTGATTAACACTGTGACCCTCCTGCCTGTTTAAAACAGTGAACATGTACCCTTACTAACACTGTGACCCCTCCTGCCTGTTTACAACAGTGAACATGTACCCTTACTAACACTGTGACCCTCCTGCCTGTTTAAAACAGTGAACATGTACCCTTACTAACACTGTGACCCTCCTGCCTGTTTAAAACAGTGAACATGTACCCTTACTAACACTGTGACCCTTCTGCCTGTTTAAAACTGTGAACATGTACCCTTACTAACACTGTGACCCTTCTGCCTGTTTAAAACAGTGAACATGTACCCTTACTAACACTGTGACCCCTCTCATACTTATGCCTGTTTAAAACAGTGAACATGTACCCTTACTAACACCGTGACCCTCATGCCTGTTTAACACAGTGAACATGTACCCTTACTAACACTGTGACCCTTCTGCCTGTTTAAAACGACCCCTCTGTCTGTTTAAAACATTGAACATGTACCCTTGCTAACACTGTGACCCTCCTGCCTGTTTAAAACAGTGAACATGAACCCATATCAACACTCCGACCCTCCTGCCTGTTTAAAACAGTGAACATGTACCCTTACTAACACTGTGACCCTCCTGCCTGTTTAAAACAGTGAACATGTACCCTTACTAACAATGTGACCCTTCTGCCTGTTTAAAACTGTGAACATGTACTCTTACTAACACTGTGACCCTCCTGCCTGTTTAAAACAGTGAACATGTACCCTTACTAACACTGTGACCGTCCTGCCTGTTTAAAACAGTGAACATGTACCCTTACTAACACTGTGACCCTCCTGCCTGTTTAAAACAGTGAACATGTACCCTTACTAACACTTTGACTCTCCTGCCTCTTTAAAACAGTGAACATGAACCCTGATTAACACTGTGACTCTCCTGCCTCTTTAAAACAATGAACATGTACCCTTACTAACACTGTGACCCTCCTGCCTGTTTACAACAGTGAACATGTACCCTTACTAACACTGTGACCCTCCTTCCTGTTTAAAACAGTGAACATGAACCCTTACTAACACTGTGACCCTCCTACCTGTTTAAAACAGTGAACATGAACCCTTACTAACACTGTGACCCTCCTGCCTGTTTAAAACAGTGAACATGTACCCTTACTAACAATGTGACCCTTCTGCCTGTTTAAAACAGTGAACATGTACCCTTACTGACACTGTGACCGCCCTGCCTGTTTAAAACAGTGAAAGAGTACCCTTACTAACACTGTGACCCTCCTGCCTGTTTAAAACAGTGAACATGTACCCTTACTAACACTTTGACCCTCCTGCCTCTTTAAAACAATGAACATGTACCCTTACTAACACTGTGACCCTCCTGCCTGTTTAAAACAGTGAACATGTAACAACGCGACCTTACTAACACTGTGACCCTCCTGCCTGTTTAAAACAGTGAACATGTACCCTTGCCTAACACTGTGACCCTCCTGCCTGTTTTAAAACAGTGAACATGTACCCTTACTAACACTGTGACCCTCCTGCCTGTTTAAAACAGTGAACATGTACCCTTACTAACACTGTGACCCTCCTGCCTGTTTAAAACAGTGAACATGTACCCTTACTAACACTGTGACCCTCCTGCCTGTTTAAAACAGTGAACATGTACCCTTACTAACACTGTGACCCTTCTGCCTGTTTAAAACAGTGAACATGTACCCTTACTAACACTGTGACCCTCATGCCTGTTTAAAACAGTGAACATGTACCCTTACTAACACTGTGACCCTTCTGCCTCTTTAAAACGACCCTTCTGCCTGTTTAAAACATTGAACATGTACCCTTACTAACACTGTGACCCTCCTGCCTGTTTAAAACAGTGAACATGTACCCTTACTAACACTGTGACCCTTCTGCCTGTTTAAAACAGTGAACATGTACCCTTACTAACACTGTGACCCTCCTGCCTGTTTAAAACAGTGAACATGTACCCTTACTAACAATGTGACCCTTCTGCCTGTTTAAAACAGTGAACATGTACCCTTACTAACACTGTGACCCTCCTGCCTGTTTAAAACAGTGAACATGTACCCTTACTAACACCGTGACCCTCCTGCCTGTTTAAAACAGTGAACATGTACCCTTACTAACACTGTGACCCTTCTGCCTGTTTAAAACAGTGAACATGTACCCATACTAACACTGTGACCCTCCTGCCTGTTTACAACGGTGAACATGTACCCTTACTAACACTTTGACCCTCCTGCCTCTTTAAAACAATGAACATGAACCCTGATTAATACTGTGACCCTCCTGCCTCTTTAAAACAGTGAACATGTACCCTTACTAACACTGTGATCCTTCTGCCTGATTAAAACAGTGAACATGTACCCTTACTAACTCTGTGACCCTCCTGCCTGTTTACAACGGTGAACATGTACCCTTACTAACACTGTGACCCTCCTGCCTGTTTAAAACAGTGAACATGTACCCTTACTAACACTGTGACCCTCCTGCCTGTTTAAAGCAATGAACATGTACCCTTACTAACACTTTGAACCTCCTGCCTGTTTGAAACAGTGAACATGTACCCTTACTAACACCGTGACCCTCATGCCTGTTTAACACAGTGAACATGTACCCTTACTAACACTGTGACCCTTCTGCCTGTTTAAAACGACCCCTCTGTCTTTTTAAAACATTGAACATGTACCCTTGCTAACACTGTGACCCTCCTGCCATTTTAAAACAGTGAACATGAACCCATATCAACACTCCGACCCTCCTGCCTGTTTAAAACAGTGAACATGTACCCTTACTAACACTGTGACCCTCCTGCCTGTTTAAAACAGTGAACATGTACCCTTACTAACAATGTGACCCTTCTGCCTGTTTAAAACTGTGAACATGTACCCTTACTAACACCGTGACCCTCCTGCCTGTTTAAAACAGTGAACATGTACCCTTACTAACACTGTGACCCTCCTGCCTGTTTAAAACAGTGAACATGTACCCTTACTAACACTGTGACCCTCCTGCCTGTTTAAAACAGTGAACATGTACCCTTACTAACACTGTGACTCTCCTGCCTCTTTAAAACAATGAACATGAACCCTGATTAATACTGTGACCCTGCGGCCTGTAATAACAGTGAACATGAACCCTGATTAACACTGTGACTCTCCTGCCTCTTTAAAACAATGAACATGAACCCTGATTAACACTGTGACCCTCCTGCCTGTAATAACAGTGAACATGAACCCTGATTAACACTGTGACCCTCCTTCCTGTAAAAACAGTGAACATGAACCCTGATTAACACTGTGACCCTCCTGCCTGTAAAACAGTGAACATGAACCCTGATTAACACTGTGACCCTCCTGCCTGTAATAACAGTGAACATGAACCCTGATTAACACTGTGACCCTCCTGCCTGTAATAACAGTGAACATGAACCCTGATTAACACTGTGACCCTCCTGCCTGTAATAACAGTGAACATGAACCCTAATTAACACTGTGACCCTCCTGCCTGTAAAAACAGTGAACATGAACCCTGATTGCATTCCGATTGGTATTGTGAGCTTGTTACCTGACTGAAAAAGCAACATTTGCAAACGTACGTTTCTTACACTATGAATTGTCATTTATAACAACTCTAGTTCTAGTCACCCACAATCATTTGCAATAGCCTTTGTTAATGATTTACTACATTCAGAAGATTAGGAATCGTGTAGCTGCTAGATATATCTCAATTTCGAATAGTTGATAATCTGAATCGGTATCGCAAGTCATAAGTGCGCTGTCCTTGTTTTTATGCCGTCTAATTAACATATTCCAGAAAAATAATCATATTTTAATAATATTGTTATATTTTCACGATGATTTTTGCAATGTTCTATGATGTAACGTGCTTCGTGAAATATATTTGCAGCAAATAACTGACGTACTTTTATTAGCAGCCTCATTGCGCAGTTGGAATGAAATCAGAAGGCAATTAGTTGTCTAAGCGGGTCCCATTTCACTTATTCTCAACATAACATCTCTGGAAGTAGGAGAATAATTTTCCGCTTGAAAGAAAATAAAAGAAATGTGCTTGCACGCGGACACTTCAAAGGGGTATTAGGGATCATGTTGATAATTACGTCAGCAGTCGTAGAAGTAACTGATCACGCATTAAATGGCCCACGAGATTACAAATATTTCATGTGAACTCGATACACCGCTGTAAATCCGGCATGACTGTCTGAGTCACGAGATAGGAAGGTTTGTGCCACTTTCTAGGATTAATAAATGTAAACAGAGATGAGCGTTGTAAACGGCAGATCACTGCTAGCCATAAAAATTGGCTACAATTGAGCGATGTGTCATCTCCGAGGATACCGTGTTGACAGCCAATGGTGGAAACATGCCAAGGAATTGGGAGATGTATGTATATTGAAATAACACAGGTTAAAATAAAACAGTTACAGAAAACCAACAGGTAAATCCAGAAAAATCTGAAATCCAGAGAAATAAGTGTGAAATCCACCATGAACTAAGTGGGGATGTGTTTGTGCATACGTTGATGCTTGCTCCGAGTATGTGCATGCAGGTGAACGGTAAATCCAGCCACACACGGTGTCGTGTGAGGTAACAACACGTGGATCTACATGTGTGGAGATGTGTATAACAGTCAATCTTACCCTGGTCCATTAAACTTCCCAGACCCAAAGCTCAGCATGAGGCAACTCCACATCCAGGCATTGACGATCTTCTGTACCATGTTGTCCTCGATGACCAAGTGACCATACCAGTACCCACTAGTAGTCCTTAATGCACACCAGGAGAACCACTCTCTGGTCAATCCACTCCAGTCTCGTGTGTATTGTGGCTACACTGGTTCTTGGAACGGTTCTGTCTTCTTCGAAACATTGATGAAAGACATTGCAATGACCCATTGTATAATGCTGATCAGTGTCTACCCAGACTCATTCACAGTCGAGGCGGCACGTCAGCGAGCATATACGTGAGATGTACATACTGCACGCGTCTCACAGACACCCGTTACATCCAAAATTCAGATCAGGAGGCTGTCAGGATAACCAGGTACCCAGGTTCTATATGAGCGACAGTGGGCAAGCCGTCACCTGGGAACAGGTGTGTTTTCACGTATTCCTTGTCTGTTTGCAGCCTTATCACGTGTACGCCATACCACGCATCCCGTCCAGGTGTCCCACACAGGCCAGTCAATACCGCCCATTCACAACACTGTCTTCACAATACATCATCCACAAACTTCATTAGATTTAGGGAAGTTGTCATATCCAGCGATAACATGCACAGGTCACAGGTCTTAGAAATTCAATTGAATGATACATTCACGGAATGCGTATGTTTATGTCCCGTCACATATAAGTATATACAGTAACTCGATGTTTGTCAACAACGCTTCTTGTCAGTTTCGTTAGAAATACCCTTGTGTTAATGTAGGCATAATCCAGCCTTTGAATGAGTTACATGGAGTTTCGTGTGTGTCCTGCCTCACTCTGCCGTCCCACTGGGAGCTACACGCGATGTAGGTAGCTCGCATCTCACCACACAGCTGACGGTCAGAGGGACCGAGCAACCATCAGGTAGCATAATTCACCAACACCTTGGGTGCTCAGTAATCAAAACGAGGCTCGGTAAGGGGTCATTCGGGGATCCCCCTTTAAGTACTGTTTCCAGGTGTAGAGCTTGTGGCTCCAGTGTTTACGATGAGAGATACAATATGAATCCCTCCACACTAGGCTATACTTTCACCTGCCTATTGTTGACTTACGAATTACACCTTGATACCTGGATGATTTGTCCAGCTTTAAATATATCATTCGAATCAAATTCTATGTCTATAATGTTGTCCATGTTTGTTTTTGTCCCAGTGTAAATATTTACAGAGAACATTATGAACGGCATTTCCCATAAATGTTATACTTCCCAAGCTTCCACTAGATCTCTTATTTGTTACATTTAGGACAATAAGAAAATATGTTTCATTTTTCACAGACACATTACCAGACATTCACACATTGAGAGACACCTTCCCGAAGCACATGACGGTTAGGGGCACCTGTCAGCCGCAGCAGCAGCAGCAGTCGTCGGGTACACATTAGGTGCAAACGTGATCCCTGTTTGAAGCATGCAGATAAGCTAAGTCCTTTGTCGGGATGTTAAGCTCTTGTTTGGACAGAAAAATAAAACTGACACTGCTTTTTCAGCAAATGCCCCCGTGACTTTGAAAGGTGAGATTATTTACATTTATTAAAACCTTAAGAATAAACATTATCTTAACCCATTGTATTACACCCATCACCGAGCCGATACTCACCCACTGGCTCATGAGATGAGTTCCCCAAGTGTAGTATCATAGGTAGTATTATTGTTTATAATAGAAGTAGTATACTAGCGGTAACAGTAGAAGCAGCAGTAGTGGTAGCAGTAGTAGTAGTAGTAGCAGTAGTAGTAGTTGTAATAGCAGTAGTAGTTGTAGTAGTTGAAGTAGTAGTATCAGAGTTGGTAGTAGTAGTGGAAGTAGTAGTAGTAATAGTAGTAGTAGTAGTAGTAGTAGTAGTAGTAGTAGTAGTAGTAACGGGAGAGCTCCAGACACATTATTTGTCTTTGCTTTTGTCATATTCAGCCTGGTTAGAAGCAAGTATTCGTACTTTTCAAATAATTGCCCATCATTGGTTGGTTAGCCACGTCCCCCTATCCGAGCCACCTCTCCCCAATAACGCTGCCCTCCGATGACTAATCACTGCCTCAGATCGGCGGCAAACCCGCCTACAAGACACTGCGTCCCATGGTGACCTCAGTACTCATGTGAATATCACAGCTTTGTCCCAAGAATATTTCTTATCCAATCCTGTGTAAAGCTGGTCCAAGAAGAGGTGTTACCGATGCTGTAGAAAGGAGTTACATGAAAAGGTGTTACCGATGCTGTAAAAAGTAGTTACATGAAAAGGTGTTACCGATGCTGTAGAAAGTAAGTCCAAGAAAAGATGTAATCCGGTGTTGGTAGAACCATCAACCAGTGCTACCAAGGGCTGTCTGGTCAGAACAATTGTTATCTGCATGCTGTGTAAAGTAGCTCAATGAATATCTCAATGTGCTTCAGTGTATTAACGCAATAATTGGAAAGACAAACATCAACACACTACAATCTCCGTCACAGATCATCTGTGTATTTGTGCCGCGATGACATGATCACGGGAATACCCAAATACTGAGCTTCTCTACAGACAGACCAACATTGCTACGAATCTGCAGATCCAGTTAATACGGATTTGATCGTGTGTTTGTCACGGCCTCCATGTGGAGCTAAGTCCTCAAGTCACACCTATCGTCAATTTAAAACTAGCTTCAGATGTTGTTTCAAGAGAGGTAATCCTGCGTTATGACCGCTTCTGTTTCCAAGAAGATGTCACTTTGAGAAGCCTGCGCTACACCATGGAGACACACGAGCATGTACATCCGGACTTCACACTGACTGACACAATAGATCGTCGAAGGGACTTCTGGTATGGAGCACCACCTGAACATTGTTCACTGTTCGCTAGTAGTTCTCTTGGCGTGTAGTGTTACTTGCCGCTATAAAGCAGACCATCCTGCTGGTGACATGAGCACAAACAGCTGATCATATATTTCGCTTTGAAAAATCCATGCGTATTGACTAGACGGCGTCGGCTAAACGTCCACACACATTTACACCCCACGCGAGTCCCCGTACACATGATTTACAACATATTTCACTCTGGAGAGTTTGTGAGAAGAAGCAAATTGTACTTCTCGGACAACAGGGTGTACGGAATACCCACTAAAGCCCTTAACTGAGTCTATGGATATTTTGGGAGATTAGGCTGATTCTACTCTGCACGAGTGTCATGTTAAAGAAAGATAGGATTCAGAGAAGGAGCTGCTCGCAGGTTTCCTGGATGTCGTCCTCAAGGGTAAAAAAACATCATATTACCGGGAGGAGATTTATGACGTCATCTTTACACTTATGGGCCGCTACAGAAATGTGGCCTGCTGCTTGGAACGCGACATTGACGTGGGGGAATGTTATTTATTTTCGTTAACATGAGAATATTAGAGAAGAAATGGTTGGCATTCTTAAGTTTATGTGTGATATTCGACGAATGAGAGTAAGGTTAACCAGGAGCCATTTGAAACTGACAAAGAAATACCAGTGATGGGTATGTTAAGATGGTGGACGTTTTGAAGTGGACACGGGTCACTGGCACTGGTGTTGGTCCTGTATGAGGTGTCTCTTTTACCACCAAGGAGTGAACAGGAAACTGTACGTACACTACCCTTCCTTCAATGCACATAGAACATGCTATAGGCTTATTCATATCAACATTTCTGATTTGGGATTATTTGAGGTATGTATAGAGCACACTTATGCATGCTTCATATCTCACTTTGCACATTCATGATCTAACCCGATCTTCATCACATGTTGTAAATAAAATGTTCTGTATGAAGAGGTGTGCAGGCAAGAAACACCGACTGCAGATAACAGTGACGTTCAATTAAAGATGTTATTTCTTATTTCGGTTTGATCATTACTTATACCAATGTGTATACCAACTGGTATCTCGCTCTTCATGCACATGAACATTTAACTCTGGCACATACAAAACACAAACTGACATTAACACCTCGAGGTATTGCCGCCCTTTTTTACGGCTTTGTCACAATTGCTCATGGTCGCGCCCAATGGGACGCTAGAAAGCTTGTATGCTGGGATCTCAATCGCCCATATTATTTTTCCAGGAGGCAGGTGTACACAACAACTTTAACGAAAATAAGTCTATGCATAGCTCCGGTGTTGTTCATGATGCTGGTCAAGCACTGCCCCTGTGTTGTTCTTCATGCTGGATAAGCACTGCCCCTGTGTTATTTATGCTGCTGGTCAAGCACACAGGGAAAATGCGTGGACAATCACTGCCTCTGTGGTGTATATGATAATGTACACAAGGACAATGCGTGGAGAATCACTGTCACAGTGATATATATGATACTGTACACAGGGACAATGCGTGGACAACCATTGTCTCTGTGGTGTATATGCTACTGCACACAGGGACAATGCGTGGACAATCACTGCCTCTGTGGTGTATATGATACTGTAAATAGGGACAATGCGTGGACAGTCACTGCCTCTGTGGTTTATATGCTACTGTACACAGGGACAATGCGTGGACAATCACTGCCTCTGTGGTGTATATGATACTGTACACAGGGACAATGCGTGGACAATCACTGTCTCTGTGGTGTATATGATACTGTACACAGGGCCAATGCGTGGACAATCACTGCCTCTGTGGTGTATATGATACTGTACACAGGGACAATGCGTGGACAATCACTGCCTCTGTGGTGTATATGATACTGTACACAGGGACAATGCGTGGACAATCACTGCCTCTGTGGTGTATATGCTACTGTACACAGGGACAATGCGTGGACAATCACTGCCTCTGTGGTGTATATGATACTGTTCACAGGGACAATGCGTGGACAATCACTGCCTCTGTGGTGTATATGATACTGTACACAGGGACAATGCGTGGACAATCACTGCCTCTGTGGTGTATATGAAACTGTACACAGGGACAATGCGTGGACAATCACTGCCTCTGTGGTGTATATGATACTGTACACAGGGACAATGCGTGGACAATCACTGCCTCTGTGGTGTATATGCTACTGTACACAGGGAAAATGCGTGGACAATCACTG